AAGTGAGATCATTATCTGTTTGACACATAAAAGGCTGCAGGGGTGTCGTCTAAACACATTTAAATGAGAAGAGCACAGAGAAAAGCAGAATTAAAGAAATTCTCTCATGTTTCAAGTAATTGAATCTGATGTAACTTTTGCAGAATAATTTGTGTTGGTGTGTATTTTGCCATATTGCATCATACAATAATAGATTGGCAGGAGTGTTGGCTATGCATGCATATGAGTCGTCATTTTCAAACTTGTGTGTGTGTTGAACTTGTGCAGGTGTTCTGGGTTCTGCGTTGGCATGCTGCATCCCTCCCTGGTTAAATGGTAATCACAATCACATTTATATACCCACACAGGAAAACAAGTAGTCACAGTAAAACATGTGTGAATTGAACGTCATACACGCTTGCTCTCTCTGTGTGTGTGTGTGTGTATTTGGCTCAGTGGATGGGCATATAGACAGTGCTGCTGAGGAGTTCTTTTGTATATACAACACCCTTGACAAACTGGTGGACCTGATCAGAAGTTCCACAAGCGATCCGACTGCTCTTTCTGAACTGAACATGCTGCAGGAAATACTAGAAGGTGATGGTCCTGCTCAGATGACATAGTTTTMCCCATTAAATGCTGTTATTTTGGCAGCTGTAAGCTCATTCGTTAAACTGCATTGACACCCAGAGAGAAATGTTGTCAATGATTCCTCTTGTCTGTGATCATGTGTGATACAATAAAGAATGCATGGTGCCTATTAGATTCTCATTTTTCCAGACAAGGTTCATGTTAATCATTCTACGCTGCTGAAGTCAAAGAATATGGAGGAAAGAAAAAGTTTTTTTCAGCAGCGGAGAGTGAAGCTGCTGGAGGAAGTAGACACCTGGAGCCAGAGTCTGGAGGAAAGAGCTTTAAAAACTTCTGGTCAGTGTGAAAGTACTGTTTATTTACGTGATTGAAATGAGAAGGAAATGCATCTATTTGTTCTCAATGTGTTTCCCCCAGTCTTTGGACTCATTATGAAAGTCATTCAACTGATTAAGAAGTGGGAGTGGGGAACAACCAGAAACCACCTCT